CATCACCAACCAGCCGCTACGTCGCAAGCTCCACCTCCGGCACCGTCCATCAAATCCCGAGCCGAGCCAAAAGCGATCGAGTCCATATCAGAGCAACCGACTCCTGTCCTTCCCACGTCCCAGAGACTCTGGAACGCCGCGTACAACAGCCTCGCGGAGGGCAAGGATACCACAAAGCTTGTCGAGTCGTACATGGAAACCCTGGACAAAGTTCTTGGGGAGAGGACTGGTGAACCCACCGTCGACGTTTCCACAACACTGAAAGACCCGAGCCAGCGGCAGGCGCACATGAGAAAGCTGGTAGAGGAAGGCCAAGCAAAAATTTCCAGGCTGTCGAATATTACGCAGGGAGTCGGTGATGCCGTCCAATTCGTTCTCTCAGCCAAGGCCATGGTCGACTTGGCGATCCAGAATATACCCCAAGCAGCGCTGCCGTGGGCTGGTGTCTGCATTGGACTGCAGGTACGTATCCGTACACGGCCGCCCAATAGTTGTGTTGGTTAACCTCCATCCAGATCCTGCTGAATCCTGCTAAAGCAATAGAGTCCAACCTGGCGGGCATCGTGCATGTTATCTCCCGGATGGACTGGTATTGCGCCTTGACCGAACATATCCTAAGCCACAACAACATTGTGGTAGGGAAGGAGAGCTTCAAGTCTGTCCAGCTTCAGTTGGAAAACAGGATCGTTGAGCTCTACAAGGCTCTCCTTCTGTATCAGATGAAGAGCGTTTGCTCTTTCTACCGGCATCAAACCTGGATCGCTCTCCGCGGCCTTGTGAAGGTCGACGACTGGGATGCCTATCTGAAGAGCGTCACAGATACCGAGGCAACTCTTCAGACTGATTTGAATCAGTTCAACAGTCAGCATACGAAGAGCCTCCTAGGGAAGCTTGTCGAGAAAGGGGAAGAAAGGAAAGCGCTAATTGGAGATATTCATCAAGCTCTTCAAAGCAGCATCGCTATGCAAGAGAAGACCCACAAAGCTGTCCAGGATGGCAACACTCTGCGCAAGGAGATTCACCGAGATGAGAAGGACACGCAATGCCTCCGAGACCTCCGCCTGACCGACCCGCGCGACGACAAGCAGCGCATCCAAAACACGAAAGGTGGCCTGTTACGAGACGCGTATCACTGGGTCCTTAACAACTCTGAATTCCAACAATGGTGCAAAAGCCTGGACAGCAACCTCCTTTGGGTCAAGGGCGATCCCGGCAAGGGCAAGACAATGTTACTCTGCGGCATTATCGACGAGCTCCAGAGATTGACTTTGGGAACAGGCCCTCTATCATTCTTTTTCTGCCAGGCCACCGACGAGCGGATCAACAATGCCTCCGCCATCCTACGCGGCCTCATCTACATGCTCCTCGACCAGCAGCCATCCCTTGTCCCTCATGTGCGGAGAAAGTACAAGCATGCAGGAAAAGCACTCTTCGAAGATGCGAATCGATGGGTTGCTTTATCCGAGATCTTCAAAAACATTCTGCAAGACCCAAGCCTGGAGGGCGCCTACCTGGTCATCGATGCGCTCGACGAATGCATAAGCGGCCGGCGAGAACTTCTCGAATTTATCGTCGAGATGACATCTACGGTTCCTCACGTCAAGTGGATCGTCTCCAGTCGCAACTGGCCAGATATTGAGAAGATTCTTAATGCAGCGACACAGAAAGTACGACTGTGTCTGGAGTTGAACGAAGCATCCGTCTCCGAGGCCGTTACTGCATACGTCAGGGTCAAGGTAGATCGGTTGGCGAAGCGAAATAAATACCACCCCGATACGAAAGATGAAGTCCAGAAATATCTGTCACAAAATGCACATGGCACATTTCTTTGGGTAGCCTTGGTCTGTGACAAACTTGCCGACATCTCAGGATGGGACGCTGAATATGAGATGAAGTTGTGTCCGCCCGGACTCGATGCCCTCTACAGGCGAATGATCGACCAGATTTGGGCCAGGCCACCAAGAAACTCCCAGCGCTGCAAGGATATATTGGCTGTCGTCTCGGCCGTTCTCAGGCCAATTACATTGGATGAACTGCCATCTCTTGTGGAGATGGACCCTCGATATTCTAGCAGTGACAAAGCTCTGGTGGAAATCGTAGGGGAATGCGGTTCTTTTCTTACTCTCCACGAACGTGTTATCTCGTTCGTCCACCAATCTGCCAAGGACTTCTTGTTCCAGAAGGCGTCTCAAGAGATCTTCCCTTTAGAATTGCAAGATGTACACCACTCCATCTTCTCGCGGTCGCTGCGAGTCCTGAACAAATCGTTGCGCCGCGACATTTACAGCCTTGGCGCTCCTGGATCTTTAATTGTTGACCCCAAACTATTCGACCCAGACCCGCTGGCTGCAGTACGGTATGCTTGTGTCTACTGGATTGATCATCTCTACGATTGGCAGTCACGCAAGAATACCAATCACCAAAATGTGTTCCAGGATGGCGGTGTCATCGATGACTTTCTGAGGCAGCACTATCTCCACTGGCTCGAAGCTCTCGCACTTTGCAGGAGCATGTCGCAGGGAGTATTGTCAATGGCAAAGCTCGAGAGCATTCTTCAGGTCGGTTCTACCTGGTGATACTTGTCCTTTCATTTAGCGCTTCTAACATCACTTAGCAAAAGAACGTTGCATCACAATTACCAAGGCTGGTTTATGACATGCGCCGATTTGTTCAATACTGCAGTCAGCTAGTTGAAAACTATCCACTTCAGGTATACGCTTCAGCACTTGCGTTCAGCCCTGCCAGAAGCATGACACGAAATCTGTACAAGAGGGAAATGAAGTGGATTACTGCCGGGCCGGTTGTAGAAGAAGATTGGAATGCTTGCACACAGACGCTCGAGGGGCATAGCGGTTCGGTCTGGTCCGTCGCGTTCTCGCC